AGTGAAGGAAATCATTTTGGGCGTCCCACTGAAACTAAGCCTGACTCTTTCTTTCAGGAGATCTATTAGTGGTGCCAATTTGTCTGTGAGGTGTGGCTTAGACTTGGCAAGAAAAATAATCAATCCTAATACATTTCTCAACTCAGCTGTAATCTGGCAATGCCTCCTTAGGAAACTGCCAGGGCATTTCTGGGTCAATCCAGAAACCTTGTCGTGAAAGAATTTTTAGTCCTCAGAATAAATTTTTTCACACTGAACATGGTTCAAGTCGTCTTTACTTGGGTATCAAAAAATACTGGCACCCTTTTAAAAAGCAGCTCTGACCTGTATATAAGTTGCCCCATTTCATTCACAACACTGTGATGAACCTTAAAAGAATGTGAAGGTAGAATGCATTCGAAAACAGCATTTACACAAGGGTTGTCTTTTAATTCAAAGTAGTCGGATACAAAACGAACCATTAACAATGAGTGTAACAAACGTGGTTGTAAAACTTCCTGACTGGAAACCCCTTCCCCCAAAGATATTTCACAATTCAGATAAGAATTATAATGTTTTGGCAGAGGAATTAGTTTGAGATATTAACATATTTTACGTTCCGAAGGGTGTTTTCCAGCAGCATATTATTGCATGTCAAAGCAGCAGCAAATCGTCCCATGGCATCCAAGTAGGGATGCCAGGCTTCCCCCAATCGTGGCGGGTCTCCGAGCATCCTGTCTCATTACCTGTTGGCACCTCAGATGCCAGCAGGAGGAAAGGGGGAAGGAGAACACACACTAGTGTGCTTACACCACTTCCAGAAAAACCTGGAGGTGACATGATGGATTCTGTAGAATCTCTATGGTAAAACCATAGAGTTTTTGCAATTTGCTAGAGTGTCCACCCGTTCACTTCCGATTTTCACTAGAATTGATGTGAGCGTGCCTGCATGATGCTGGCACACCAGACTCTGCCCTTCATTTCCTCACAGAAACTGCCGGCTGACACACACACACACACACACACACACACCCAGTGACATTGCCAGTCACCCAGGAAAGAATCACAAACATGGTGTTCCTCATTACCAGCCATGCAGTAGAAGGAAACACATCATAAACTGACTACAAAACCAACTTCACATTGCTCTCCCATGAGACTGATACAATGAACATCTGAAAATACCCTAAGTATTGGACATCTGGCACCCTATGATAACAAACAAACAAACAAACAAAGGCACCCTATGATAACTCTGAGCGGTATTTTAGGAAACCCAGGCATTCTTTGGAAACTTATAAGGGGTTCTACTGAGAAATGTGGCTTTGGATATTGCACAGCACTTCCATGTGTGCAAGACTTCTGCCTATGAAACATGATTTTCTTGGCTCCTCCCCAAGCAGTTGCAAGCAATGTTCCCTCTAAGCTGTGGAGTCTTGTGAGCAAAAATGGTACTTTGTGAGCTACTGGCATGAAAGTTGTGAGCGAGCGATTTGGCTCCTGCATAATTCAGTTTGCTTTGGAGCCCTCCTTCCTGAGCGGAGACAAAAATGTGTGAGCCGGAGGCTAAAAAACTGTGAGCTAGCTCACACTAACTCAGCTTAGAGGGAACACTGGTTGCAAGTGCTGTCAAAATTCTGTTCCTGGGAAGAGGGCTAAACTATGTGCTGTTGAACAGATGCTTGAATCTTCTGCAAAGGAGACAGGCTGATGTGCAAAGGCCCCCCTTAAGTTGAAAACACTACTGCAGGAGGATTTAGTAATGGGAGTCCTGTATAATTTAGGTTTATAAATAAGGCTTTTCATAGATCACTTTAAAAAAAAATGTATTAATTATCAGACACTTGAGACATTTTCACCATTACTACATACGGGCAGGGATATTTTTTATTTTTGAAAAAGAGGTGCCAGAACTCTCAAGAGGAAGATGAAGTTTTCAATCTGTGTACTGAAAACTCATGAACTTTTAAACATGTCTAAGAGGTTCCAGAACTCTGTTCCAGTGCGTTCCCCAAGAAAAAAGCCCTGCATGCAGGTATGTGTGAGTAAGACAAGTAGGGGGGAAAATGTGTGCAAGTAACTTTTGTGGACTTGCTTACACTGCAGCCTAAAATACTTTCCACAAGAGAAATATTCATACCATATCACAGTGTACAATTCCAGATCAAACAGTTTTTCCTACATCTTGGCTGCTCCATCCATGGATGAGAATTAGGATTTAAAAATCCAGAATATTTTAGTTTAGTTCTTAAATCACTCTAAAGCCATGACCATATTTTTGCCCTGAGTTCAATACTTTTGGGAAGTGAGTTTTTTCCCTGCTTCCCACAGCATTGTGGTGCATCTGTGGACCTTCAGGGATTTCCCTGTCTTTTCTCTGATCTTTTTCAAACCTACTTTGCTCTGAAACTTTCAGAAAGATAGCAGTGATGTCTGAACGGCTGCTGTGTGGGTGGGAAAATTCAGATTTTCTGGCCCAGGTGATAGCCTTTTTATTCTCCACTTTCAGTTTTTTTTCTAGTGTTTTTAACATTCAGCACTAGAACATTGTTATATAGATATAGTGTTGTAACAATAGGTATAGCAGCTTCTCTGAATTCTCAGCTTTCTTTCTTTTTTTTTAAGTAAGTCTCTAGTGCAGGGGTGGCCAAACTGCGGCTCAGGAGCCGCATGTGGCTCTTTCACACATATTGTGTGGCTCCTGGCAGGGCGGCTGGGGAAGCGAAGGGGAGGCATGCCTCCCCATTTGGTCTTCCCTTCCCCAGCCAGTGTTCCCCTCCCTGGGTAGGCCTGAGGTGGGGGGGGGAGCAGAGAAAGAAAGCAACTTTAACTTTAAATGTGTTCTCAAAGGCCCCCCCTCCCGGCTTGGAGGCATGGGGTGGGTGGGTTGGAGGACACATTTAAAGTTAAAGTTGCTTTCTTTCCACCTCCACCTCCCTCTTCCATCTATTCGCTTGCTTGCTTTCCATCTTTCTTTGTCTCTCTCCCTTTCTTCCTCTTTCTCTCTTCCTTCCGTCCCCCTCCCTCCCTCCGTCTATTTGCTGTCTTTGATTTTTTCTCTCTCTCTATTTCATTCTTTCTTTCCACCCCTCTCTCTCTTAGACATATAAAGATCATTAGCAAATAAATATCACTGGACAAATAAATTTCATTATAAATATCTGTTTTTATCCCTTTTTGTTTTTATTGCTGGCAGTCTCATTTAATGTTAATAAAAAGCAAAATTTGCATATTTTCCAATAAAAAACATCTGTAATATTCATTCATGTCTTGCGGCTCTCAAACATCTAACGTTTATTCTATGTGGCTCTTACATTAAACAAGTTTGGCCACCCCTGCTCTAGCATCTTCCCTTGTGAAGATACGTCACTTTCCTGATATCTCCACAAGGGAGGGGCATAGAGATTTACTTTTTTTATGAAAGCCAGGAATTCAGAGAACCTGCTACACCTATAATTACAGTGATATATCAATATAATGACATTCTAGTGCTTCCACCTGCTATGTGGAAGCCCAATTGCTGCTGTGCCTTAGTTGCAGCTGCTCCAGCAACAGGGAAACCACATGGAAGCCACCTCTATTATGTGAAGTACGTGAGCACTAGCCATAATTTGGTATACCAGGACCTTCACATTTCACAAAATAGAAGTCTTTTAACATTTTTACATAGATGAAGATGATAAAATTACTCTTCCATCAACCTATCGGTTCTGAACAGCTGTATGATGAGCCACTATAGTTGAAACGAATTTGGCTAGGGCCAGAGTGAGTTTGTTTAGCTCTCAGAAGCCACATCACCCTAGCGGAGGATGAAGTACATGAGTACTATTGATGCACAAGCATTGTTAAGGCAAATTTTTGCTATGATTTCAATTCGTTTAATCCTACCGTCTTTTCTATTAGTGCAAGAAGGATGAGAGAGGTTCCTTTAGACTTACAAAAGACTATACTTGGGGACTGTGGGACTTGTGAAGATTTTTAAAAAATATGGAACGGGGTGGCAGTAAAGTAGGGGGACTGGGTGAGATTGGACCTCCTTCCTCTTGCTCCAGTGGAAAAGGTGGCAGGATCCAACCCAATGGGGTGGATCTGGCCACCCCAATGTGGAGGAAGGCTCCTTAGGCTGGAGGAGACTTCCGACTTTGCTGAGCAGAGTGGCTGGATCCCTAAGTCCACATCCATTTCCCTACCTAGCCAAAGTGTTGCACTGTTTTAGTCAATACATGTTTGTAACCTGCTTTGGTATTCCCAGAAGAAAAGGTAGTTATAAGAACAGACTATTATTACTCATTGGTGTGATTGTCTTAGGACAGTATCACCTTACACAATACAGATCGTCTCAACGATTCCACATCGTTTGAAGTTTGATAAGCATATTTATAATTAAAGAAAGATATTGTGGAGATACTCCGCTCAAGGCGTGACTGGGTTATGAAACCAGAAGTATGGCTTTGGAGTAGGGAACAAACTCGAATTAAACAGCTCCTCAGGCCAATTCTGTCTGCAGTTGTGTAAAGTGCATTCTTTTCTTTCTTTTGTTCTCGCAGTAGGCTCCTTTCATTAGGGAAAATAAAACCTGATGAAAACTGAAGGCAAGTCCTTGCTCTGATTCACACTAGAATCCAACTATCTCCAACCGGCTCATGGCTTTCTCAAGAGGAAAAAAAATCCACAGCCTTTTCGTTTCTCCTACACCCCTTTCCTACGGGCAAAATTATTAACAACTTCACCTACTTGACTACAGGTGCATTTTAAAGACAGCAGCAGGAGGGAGGGCTGTTACTTTCACTCCTTTCAGTTTGATTTTCCTTTCATTATAACTAATCATTCTTTTTATATATAAACACAATTAGTAATTCACCCTTTCCAGGTTGCCCTTCCCACCCCCTGCATTTTAAATTGCAAATTATCATATGCAGTCCCCTCCCCCCTTTAAATTCTTAAGTGCAATACCTGGTTGAGATTTAAGACTCCGTAGCAACAGACCTGAGACTCTGTGGCAGGCCTGCCGATCAGTAGGTTTAAAGTTCAAAGCCTCCAGAGGGCACTGTGTGCCACAGAGACATAAGCTTGTCCCCGCCCACAGCACCGCCACTCACCCTCAGTTCTTCTTTGTCCCCGCCCACAGTCACATGCTCCCGCACAGCACCGCCACTCACCCTCAGTTCTTCCATGTCGCCGAGAGCACATAGTGGGGCAGGAGGGAGGGTATGTGTGCCTGCACAGAAGATACTTGATGAACAATCATTACAGGTCAGCAACCCTGTTTTCAACATTGATCTTCTGTGCAGTCCCACATGGGGATTCTAGCAAACTATACACAGGACAGAGGGAAACATGCTCACCTATTTAAACAAAGAGTAAAGGACAGCCTTTCCAAATTCTATGTGCCATCTGGCTGCAACATCTAATGCATAATGTCACACAAAAGTGTTGGAAGACATTCAGGTGGCCGCTTTGCAGATCTCTTCCAGCAGGACACCACACCAGAAGGCTGTCGAAGACTCCAAAGCCCTTGTGAAATGGGCTCACACCTCCACTGGAAAAGAGCAACCAGCTAAGTCATAGCAACACTTGATGGTTTGCACCAACCATCAAGAAAGGGTGTGTGGGGGTGCCTGTCTCCCTGTCCTTGGATCTGCAATACATACAGACAACACTCCCTACGGAACTCAGCAGTTCTTTTCAAATAGAAGAGTAAGGCCCTTCTAACACCCAGAGAATAAAGATCCTGTTCCGCTTCAAAGGTGGGATTCAGGAACAAAGGCAAAACAACATCCTAGGATAAATTAAGTTTAGACACAATCTTAGGTCGAAAACTCAAACCAGGGCGGAGAAAAACAGGTTGCTTACCTGTAACTGATTATCTTTGAGTGGTCATCTGTGCATTCACACCTCTAGATATAGTGTGCCTGCGCCGACCCCAATCGGTATAATCAAAAGCAAAAGGGATTTTCGCACCCACTCTCAAGTCACATGCAGGGCTCCAGTGTGCATGACTACAGGAGGGGCACGAAAATCCCACCAGAGGTGTGATGCACAGAGACCACGAAGAAGATCCACATGTCCTGGGAAAAACTTCAAAAAGGGTTGCTCAACTCTAAGAACGGCCAGTTCACCAACGCATCTGGCTGAAGTTATGGCCACTAAAAAATACTTTCATAGCCAACAAGTTTTGAGAGGCTCAAATGGCCTTTGCATCAAGCAGGCCAGCAGCACCAAGGAGAGACACCACTGGGGAAGGATGGGGTCTTTAGGGGGGCACAGGTTTTCTAATCCTTTAAGGAAACATTTTGCAAATAAGTGGAAAAAAGGGAAGTCCCTTCCAAACTTATGTGGAGAGGAGAAATAGCAGCGAGGTGTATGTTGAGGGAGGAGAAACTCAGACCTGTATCTTTTAGCTCTGCTATGTAGTCAAAAACCTTGTTAAGGGGCGCACTATGAGAAAGAACCCCTCTGCCCTTACACTATAAGAAAAAATGGTTCCACTTAAAGGCATAAGAGAGTCTCGTGAACAATTTGCGAGAATTAAAGAGGACCTTAGAGACCTGCCAGAACTATGGTTGCCCAAGGTCATCCAGCAGCTGTGAGTGGAGGAGTTGGGAATCAAACCTGGTACTCCCAGATTAGAGTCCGCGCACTTTAACCACTACACCAAACTGGCCCTTTAACTTGAGGGCTCTCTACCTCTTATCTGCCAACATAATTCTTCTAACACGTATCTCACACCTCCACGTATCTGCCAACATAATTCTGATAAAGAGGGCCCTGACTGATGAAAGCTTATGCTACAATACATTCATTAGTCTTTAAGGTGCCACAAGATTTTGTAACTGTTCAGATACAATACACTACTAGAGCTCCCTCACTGTAACCTGCCATGCTAGTTTCCTCTGTGGTGAGGGTTTTAAAAAAAAATAATAATGGAGAAAATTAAAAAATGTGATCCCACACTGAAGAGAAGAAGAAGAAGAGTTTGGATTTATACCCCGCCCTTCACTACCCAAGGGAGTCTCAGAGCGGCTTACAAGCTCCTTTCCCTTCCCCTCCCCACAACAGACACCCTGTGAGGTAGGCGGGGCTGAGAGAGCTCTTGACAGAAACCGCTCTTTTTTCAAGAACAGCTCTGACAGAGCTATGGCTTGCCCAAGGTCATCCAGCAGGTGCAAGTGGAGGAGTGGGGAATCAAACCAAGTTCTCCCAGATTAGAGTCCGCGCACTGAGGTGCCCTAGTACCATGTACCTTTGCTGAACATGTAGACAAGCTCTGAGAGCTGATGACAGGACAAAGTGAGTTTTTCTTCCTGTCATAAAACAGCAAGACCATAATTAGGAGTATGTAGGGGGAAAATCAGTTTTTTTCAGATTCGGGTATGATGAAGCTGCTTTTTTTGGTATTCCTGAATATATCCGAATACCTATACCAGTAATGTATTGGAATCTGGAAATATTCGGGGATACCGTAAAAATTCGGCTCCATTATATCCTATGGTGCCATTGTAGTCAGTGGCAAAATCTTCTAAGGAGTTATTCTTAGGAGTATTCAGTGGGGTGAGGGGGAAGGGGTTTGAGGTAGAGGCACCAAATTTGTACTAGGGCCCAGAGGCCTAGTCACCTACCACCATCACCCCCAGGCCCCACCCCACAACAAAATGAGAAAAGTTTTAAAAACTGGCCCTGGGTCAAACCGGTGGTTGTCTTCAGTCTTCTGTTCTCTAGCAGGCAGGATCTTGATCCGAAGTACTCCAAGAACGTCTCTCAGGCAGGAGCAGGAAAGTCAGGCTCAAAGCAGTAGCTGAAGCAGAAGCCACTCAATCTCCAACCAAAGCTTTCTCAGCAAGAATGGAGTCAGCCAGCCAAAGACTCCTGCTTTTATGCTCTCTGGCCATACACAGAAGAATTTCAAAAAAGAACACACTTCTGTGATTGGACAAAGAACAGTGTACCACCCTTACAAGTAATCCTATTGACCAGTGCTCCTCCCTATTCCTGTCCCTAGGAAAGCAAGCTAGTAGTTGGGCTTCAAGTTTGAAGCCAGCAGTAACAACAGCCTTGCAAGCTGTAATGCCATTTGCAAATGCACTGCAGTGACTGGTTGTATGTAAGGTTCCTCTTCCCCCCTCCCTCCTGGAAAGCAGAGCAAAGGGCAGAAAAGAAACAGAAACAGTGGGAAAGAGAAGGTAAGTGCAGCCCTTTAAAGAGTAAACCCACCCTGAGCCTGTATTCGGCAATGCCAAATAAAAGCTGAATAGTTTTAGCTTTTATTCAGCATTCCGTATTTGGCAGCCAAATCAGATCAGATATTCTGATTCGGCTTGCCAAATACCCAAAAAAATGCCCGAAAATCATATTTCGGGGTTTTTTTTTCCTGGTTTGGCTTTACCGAATGCACACCCCTAAACATAATGTCTCCCTTTCACACAATTCTTGGAAGACACGAAGCTTCTGGGCTTTCTTTTTCAACCATTTTCCATTTCTTTTTCATAAAACTGTTAACAGCCACCATTCTCTGCCTTTAAGGAGAATAAGAAGAAAGGAAAGTCCTGTTCACAAATTACAGTGAACACATCATGTAAATTACTCCATTTGCATACAAAGAAATAGCAAGTGTACACTGTACATGGTTTGTATACACTGCAACTTATGAACAGAGCTGAAGTAAAGGAAAAAAAGGGGAGGTTAGAGAGGATCATGGCGTGAGAGGAACAACAAAGAACCAGGGCAAAAACAAAATGCTGAAATAGATCCTGTCTCACTTCCAAATTCTGATCCATTCAACCACCACTACCCTTTTAATGCTGGTTATACTAATCCTGATATTCAGCTCCAGTAAAAATGAGACAGTAGTGCTGAGTTTTACCCATTAAAAATAAATGTCTGTGAAGGCTAAGCACAAATGTCAAGGTATTGCCCCTTGATAGTCCATACAAATATATAGATATATTGATACATATCAGGCGCAAAAGCAAAAAGACGGACTACTTGATGGTAATTCCCAAGTGGTGAAGCTTGTTATGAGTGTGCATTTACCAACAATCTGTTCTGAGGAATGGTGAAACATTGGCTTGGATCAACTTTTTTTTCCCCCTTGTGGGAACAAAAGAATTCCACCCAAGAAGTCCAACTTTCTCACCACTCCCTCCCAGCAGCCCATCACCTGGGGAGGCATTCTGGGCTGCCATGGTAGGGGGGAGGTAAGACAGTTTCTGTAGATGAAGATCCTTGCTCTCACGGGAAATCTTCTGGTGTGGATCCCAGCCACTGAGTTGGATCAAACCTGCTTTTCTGCCTGTGAAAACTGAAGGACTGCCTCCTTCCATTTGTCCCTGTGCGCCAGCTATGGTAGTCGGGAAGCCATCTGTTGGCTATCTCACCACTCAGGGTGGCTCATCTGACATCGACCAGAGCCTTGGCTGTTTCCATTATGGTTCTAGCTCTATGGAATGGGCTGCCTTAAGAGGCAAGGAGAAGCCCCTCCCCGGAGATTTTCAGGAGGCGCTGAGAGGTCTGCCTGTTTACCAGGGCTTTTGAAGGGATTTGAACACCAGGAACCTATTACAAGGGGAGAGGGTGAGGTTTGGCGTTTGCTGTTTTATTGTGGTTTTAACTGAAAATTATTATTGTAAACCACCTTTAACCACAAGGAAAGGAGGGGAAACAATATTTTAATAAATAAATAAAGGGGTGAAGTTTGGAGTTTGCTGTTTTATTGTGGTTTTAACCAAAAATTATTATTGTAAACCGCCTTTAACCACAAGGAAAGGAGGGGGAAACAATATTTTAATAAATAAATAAATTGGTTGAAGAATCTCCTTTGACACTCCAAAAAGGCTGATAGGACCACTGTAGACTAGCGAAGGCACATTTACAAGAAAACTTCTCTGGGCAAGAATGACAGGAATGGTAAATATATAAATGAACCTTTACCCTACCGTAAATGATTATATAAATTCAGTCTACTGGTTATTTTCTCTGTCATTCAAATATAATCTCCAAGCTACTGACAAAAAGAGATATCAAGATAAACAATAATCATGGGATAATAAAAATGGTTAATAGAGGCTGCGGAACAGATTTTAATGTAGGTTTGATAGGATAATAAGGGACATAATGAGTTTGTACAGAAACTGTAGACTATGATCCTCAAAATGTTCCACCACCAACCGTACTAATTACACGGTGCCTGTGCTGGTAGTGGAGGAATGCTTTCAAGGTCTGTTCCGTAAACCACTGGCTGAAGGGCCCTAATAAAAAGTCAAAATAGCAAGCATATTCCTCAAGTACAAAGAGAATCTGTCTTTAGTAATCAGAGAATAAGAACTAGGGAGAATAAAGGAAATGTCTAATTTGTCTTCCTCCAGTATTTTGTGGACCGAGTCAATCAAAACCAACAATTAGCTGCCATTAAGACTATGCCGTATTTAATGAAAATGAAAATACACAACCTTACTGGGACTGAGCTTTTCGCTTAACATCTTTAAAAAAGAAAAGGCATTTAAAGTGCCAAGTTTTGAGGAAAACCATATTAGGCGTAACAACAAAATGTTCAGTTAGGTCAACTGCTGCTTTCCTAACAAAGCTCTTCAGCTGTTTGAGAGTAACAAATTTACTAGAAGCAACAAAAGACTATTGCAGCTCAAATGACAAGAGTTTTGTGGCAGCTAAAAGGCTCAACCTACTGTGACTGGAGAAACTTTTTTAAAGATACATTAGCATCACGTGTCATAAATCAAATCCCATGTGCAACGACCAGCAGACGACCTGAGTTAAGCAAACACCAGGTTAAAAGCTGAGTTTGTAATGTAGGGAAAAAAAAAAAAAACGGAAAGACATAGATGCAAATTATCTTCCTAAAACTGCTGAAAAGAACAGAATGGCCCTCATTGTGGTGCCCAGAATGCCACAGCACCCGCCAATTTCTTTCCTGGTGCCTGCCAGGTGTTTCTAGAAAACCAGTGGGGCCAGGTGGGGCTTTTGCCCAGCGGGGCCTCTGAAGATCTGATTGCCTGTGCAGATTCTTAAAAATATTCTTTCAGCAGCAGCTGCCACATCACAAGGATCTTCACGGCCTGACTGAAGGTAAGCAGTGTGTATGCAAGAAAATAATTTAAGCAATAAGTTCATTTTAAAAGGCGCCTTGTGAACAGAGTTTCTGCCTGAAATGTCTGAGTTACTATTAGATGTCAGTACTTGACATTTGCCAGTTGGCTCCGCCTCCTGCAGCAGCCATTTTGTGGTTGCACCTACCACTGCGTGTCAGAATTCCAAAGGTGCCTGCACAGGCTCAAGAAGGTTGGGCACCATCAAGGAACACCATGGTCATTACAAAGAGGCAGGCAATAGCAAACCATCTCTGAAAGTCTCTCGCCTTGAAAACCCTAACGGGTCACCATAGTCAGCTGCGATTTGATGGCCAAAACAAAAGAGAGAGTCACTTTTGACCCAAGTAAATATTTGAGTAGTGTACCCCTCGGGTTGAGTGGGCATAAAAGGAGTACTGATGGTACTCAGAGGAATAGGCTAGTCCTGCAGCCAAGAAAGGGAGGCACCTGACACATGACCATATGGAAGTCAACCCATTGGCCCACCTAGCTCCGTGGGGCCTCTTCTAACTGGCTGCAGTTCCCCAAACTGTCACGACCTGCTATTTGAGACTAGAAATGGGGAACCTCCCCATTCCAAATATGCTCTATTACTAAGCAATGACCAGCAGAAAGAAAGGCTACGTTGAAGACAAGTTAGATCTGAAAGCACCCGGGAAAGACAGGTTGCTTACCTGTAACTGGTGATCTTCGAGTGGTCATCTGTGCATTCACACCCTTGGGATACTCTGCGCCTGCGCTGACCTTCTCGGTACCGATAGCTAGGAAAAGGGATTTTCGCGCCTCTCCCAGGTCACGCGCCGGCTCCACTGCACATGACCAAGGAGGGGCACGCAGATCCCGCCAGTTCCTTCTGACCGCCGCCCAACAGCCTTCAAAGAAACAAGATGAAGGGCCGAGAGCAGAGGGGAAGGAGGGCGGGTGGTGTGAATGCACAGATGACCACTCGAAGATCACCAGTTACAGGTAAGCAACCTGTCTATCTTCTTCGTGGTCTCTGTGCATCACACCCTTGGGAGAATAGCAAGCAATAACTCTTACCTGGAGGAGGGGCCGAGGCCCTACACCTGCGCCGTCTGCAAGATAGACCGACCCAACGCCACACGACGAGTAGACCGGACATCAAGGGCATAATGCTTCACGAAGGTGAGCGGAGTAGCCCAAGTCGCAGCGTTGCAGATGTCCTCCAATGGCATCCCTCTCAGGAAAGCTGTGGAAGCCGCCACCGCCCTTGTAGAGTGGGCGCGAAGTTGACCTGGAAGAGGTCTCTTAGCCAAAGCGTAACATAGCTTGATTACTTCCACAATCCACCTGGACAGCGTCTGGGAAGAGATCTTCTTCCCTAGGGAGGGCATACTGTGAGCAACAAACAAGGCTGGAGACTGACGAAAAGACTTGGTCCTGCCCAAATAGAACAGCAACGCCCTCTTAACATCCAGAGAGTGCAATTTCCGTTCCTCTTCATTGGCAGGAGACGGGAAAAATGACGGCAAAACTATATCTGAACGTAGATGAAACTCCGAAACGACTTTCGGTAAGAAGGAGATGTCCAAAGACAACGACACCCCATGAGGGGAAAAAATCAAGTATGGTGGATCACACCTTAAAGCAGACAACTCACTGACTCGACGAGCAGAAGTAATGGCCACCAGAAACGCAGTCTTGAGCGATAACAACTTTAGAGAGCAAGTGGCCAGTGGTTCGAAGGGTTTTCCCATCAAAAACCGCAAAACTAAAGCCAAATCCCAGGCCGGAGTCGGAGAACGACGGGGAGGGTACAGGCGAATAAGACCTTTACAAAACTGTTTCGTCTGAGGATGCGAGAAAACTGAAAACCCATCAATAGATGGATGAAAAGCTGACACCGCAGCTAAATACACCTTAACTGAAGAAAAACTGAGTCCCAAGTCCATTCTGGACAAAATAAACGCAAAAATAGACCTCAAATCCACTGGCGGAGGAGGTAAATTGGAAGAACTCAAGTACTGTAGGAATAAATCCCACTTCTTTGCGTAAGACGTCCTAGTAGACAGTTTACGACAATTCAACAGGACCTCATTGATACGGTCATCCATCACTGAAAGCGTATTTCCCATAGAGTCAACTTGAGACTCAGAGGATCGTAGTGAAGGACCTGGCCTTCCTGAGCTTGGAGGAGATCCAACTCCTGCGGGAAGTGTACGAAGGATCCCTTGGCTAACCGCAGCAGTGTCGGAAACCACACCTGCCGAGGCCACCAGGGGGCTACCAGGAGACAATGGGGCTTGTCCTGTTGTATTTTCACAAGCACCCTGTGGAGCAGCGGAATCGGAGGAAATAGGTATAGAAAGTCGTGAGCCCACGACATCAACAGACCGTCCCCCATTGACAGAGGGTCCAACCCCGCTCTGGAGCAAAACCTGGGACACTTCTTGTTCAATCGAGTTGCAAAAACATCGATGTGGGGATGTCCCAGATGTTGAAAAAGTGATGCACAGAGGCCACGAAGAAGATGTGAGAGTTATCACTGCCAATGAAGTTAACCAAGACAGGTTGCATAACGATGTAACATGACATCATTTGAATATCGGGTTCGCTATGGAAGCACACCGTAAGTTGTTCCAATATATTCGATTCAGTTTTGGCATCAGAGAGGAGCAAAAATTCCACAATTTAGCAACGGAAGCTGCCTATTTTTAGCACTGACTAGCCAGAATCTGGGCTGTCACAAACCCACCCCTCCCACTGTCCCCAGAACTGCGTTTATTTTTATGTTTTTAAGGTGAAGAACATTTAAATGAATGAACACAATATAACATTTTAAAATATAAAAGGTCAGCAGCACAAGGAGATCACTGAACTTGATTTTGATTAGCTGATACATGGGATCCTGACATTGTAAATCTGGCAAAAGCTAACTTTAGGTCCAGTAGGCACTTTAGAGAGCAACATGATATGGGGGGCAGGAGTTTTCAAGAGTCAACGCTCTCTTCATTAGATACAAAGGGAGCGTTGACTCTCAAAAGTTTATATCCCGCAACTCTGATTGGTCTCTAGGGCACTACTGGACTTGAAACTAGCTGTTCTTCTACAGAACAGAAGAAGAGAAGAGATTGGTTTTATACCCCGCCCTTCACTACCCAAAGGAGTCTCAGAGCGGCTTACAAACTCCTTTCCCTCCCCCTCCCCACAACAGACACCCTTGTGAGGTAGGTGGGGCTGAGAGATCTCTTGACAGAAACTGTCCTTGACAGAACAGCTCTGAGAGAACTATGCTTTGCCCAAGGTCATCCAGCAGCTGCAAGTGGAGGAGTGGGGAATCAGACCCAGTTCTCCCAGATTAGAGTCCGCACACTTAACCACTACACCAAACTGGCTCTCCAACATGGCTACCCTCTGAAACTATCTTCATGGAAAAACCTAGGCTCACCAAACAAGATTAAAAAGAGCTAACTTCTCATGTTACATCTCAACCTGCCCACAGTTTCTATACAATTTCATCCAGCAAGACTGCAGCTTTTCTTCTCTTAGATTAAAATTCCAAAACACAAACACACAACTCCGGGATTAGACCATCAAAACATGTGTCTCACCATAATCTTGTCACTGTCGATGATAGTATTTAGTCGATGTGCAATCGTCAACACGGTACACTGGGCAAACTTCTCACGGATTGTCTTTTGGATCAGCTCATCCGTTCTGAAATAAACGTAACACACAGATGTGTGTATGGGGGGGGGGGAGATTGCATGCCAGAGAAAAAAAGACTTAACTTGTGGGACATTTTCTCCCTCCACTTTTACTGTCACAGAATTAAGGAAATAATAATCAGTATACAGTGGTGGGCCCTGATCTGGATAGCCCAGGACAGCCCAATCTCATCAGATCTCGGAAGCTAAGTAGGGTCGGCCCTGGTCAGTATTTGGATGGGAGACCTCCAAGGAATACCAGGGTTGTGATGCAGAGGCAGACAATGGCAAACCACCCTCTGAACATCTCTTGCCAAGGTAGCCATAAGTCAGCTGTGACTTGACAGCAAACCCCCAACCACCCACCCAAAACCCACACACAGTTGTGGTAAGGCACTTCCATTCTTCTCATAAATTACAGAGCAATGAAGCACAAATGGAAGCTTTCCCTAGCCTCATTAGACAGTCCTCTCCTGTGTATGTTCCTGGAGAAATGCTACCAGTTTGGGTAGACAATACTGAATGTAATGCATCAAGACTCTGATTCAGTGTAAGACAGTTCCGTGGATACCCAAGCAAGCTTTCATGGCAGAACAGAGATCCCAGATACTCGTCTGACACCCTAAACACTACACCACTCTGACTCTAAACCACTGGTACATCTACTTCAAACGGGGGGGGGGCTGGGTTGGGGGGGTGTCCAACCACACTACTATTATTACTATTACATACTACTATATTATGACTTTGCACACAGAGTGTGATTAACATGTGGAATTTGCTACCAGAGGATGTAGTGATGGCCACAGGAATAAACAGCTTTAAAGGTGGATTGGATACATTCATGGAGGATAAGTCTTATCAATGGCTACTAGCCACGGTGACTGAGCGGAACCTCTACATTCAGAGGCAGTCAGCCTCTGTGAATCACACAGCCAGGAGGCAACATCAGAGGAAGGCCGTGGCCTCAATGCCTTGCTGTTGGCCGTTCAGAGGAATTGGTTGGCCACTGTGTGATACAGGATGCTGGACCAGATGGGCCACTGGTCTGATCCAGCAGGGCTCTTCTTATGTTCTCATACTCATAGTTTGTTGCCTTTAAACCCATTCTAACAGTACAGCCAAAATAATAAATCAGTTTGGCAGCGTAACCTGGTCTCCTAAAGACATATAGGGAGACACCTTGCTTATTACCTTGCTGCTTTAGCCATGATTATTACAACCAAACCTTCAAGGGGACCCCTTTCCACCCACCTTTATGTTAAATTCACTATAATATACCCTCTCCGTGGTGAAGCCTGCTACTTCGGGCCTTCCACATTAGCCTGTTATGTCAGTTATTTAAATATGCCCATATTGAAGACACTAAGGAAAATGGCTACACCGACCCTGGTAGTGGGAAGAAAAAGTGTAAAGACAAGGCAAAGCAATTCTAATGAGAAATTTAAGTTACCACTGCGGCATCCTTTCTGTCAAACCCACCCCCCATGTGCCTTACCATTCACTGTAAGTAACCAACTCTGTTACTGCAATCTATATTGCAGCATTTGGGTTAGACAAGATTACTGAATGCATAATATGTTTGTTTAAAAAAAAAAACAGTACTGGTGTGTTTAACTGGAAAAGACATATTTCCATCAGCCTGACAAAAGCCACAGCTATCAACATTTCTTGATTGAAGAAAAGCTTAACCAACTATGTTATTAAGGGATAATACATTTCTGTATTAGGTTTGGTTTTTTTTAAAAAAAAATCACAGCACACACACACACACACGCATACCACAAACGCAGAGAGAACTTATAGTAAAGCCTTCCTCTTGGGCCTTGTCATGATATGGGCTGTGCCACCAGAGGCCTACTAGGCCCAGGGAGCCTGGCTAGCAGTAGGTGAGGCTGGCCCTACAACTCCCAGAAGCCCCTGAGAGGTTTTGGAGCCAAAATTGACCAATAGGGAAGAAGAGGGCTGGGGAACAAAAGAGCTGGTGCCAGAGCAAAGGCTGTTTTTTCTTCCGGAGGGCAGAGCCAGAAGGAAGGCTGCTGCAGGAAGAAACCCTCATCCTGAGGGAAGGGGGAGTAGTCTAGTGTCACTTGGAATAGTGAGCTAGGGACAGTATATGTTTAGATGCGTTAGGGCATTTGATTTCTTTTCTTTTCACCCACTTACTGTTATTATTCTGCACCTTGTTGTTTGACCTCCTATAAAATAAACCTTTTCCTTGTTTCACTCTGCCTGGTCCTCACACCTATTATTCGGCCAAAAGGGAGGTCTAAAGGTCTTGGGAGGGTACTCTGGGCATTCTCAAGGGAGCCTGGAACCAGAGTGGTGGCAGCGTCAGGTGACACCCCACCTGAGTCGTGACAGGCCTTCTCTAAGAACAGTTGCTCTCTCAAGGATGCAATCAGAAGATGTGAAGACTAGGAGATGCTAACTTTATACTGACTTTCATACAAAGAATTGGGAAAGAAGTTAAAACGAAGGCAAGTGGATTCAACAAGCCTTACCTTGGATCTACGTTTGCTGTGGCTTCATCGATAATCAGTATTTTATTCTTCTTCAGAATAGCCCTGGCCAGGCAAACCAGTTGTCTCTGCCCAACACTAAAATTAGAGCCGGATTCTGCCAATTGTGTTTCCAGTTTGTTGGGCAGCTCTTCCACAGCCTCCTTTAGCTGAACCTGCAGACATGAGCCCAACGGTAAGGAACACCCTTTCACAGCATGAAGTTGGTTCTTAAAATTTCAAAATCTATTCAGGGTTTACCTAACTATAAAGAAGACACCATCAAATGGGCTTAGGATGGGACGCACCAACCTAAATTAATGTATGCAAACTAGGGATGCCAGCCTCCAGGTGGGACCTGGGGATCCCCTGGACTTACAGCTCATCTCCAGACTACAGAGATCAGTTCCTCCAGAGAAAATGGATGCTTTGGAGGGTGAAATGGATGCTCTGGAGGGTGGACTCTATGGCATTCAACCACGCTGAAGTCCCTCTCCTTCCCAGGCTCCACCCCCAAATCTCCAGGAGTTTCCCACCCTTAGCTGGCAACCGTACCCCTCGTTTCACTGCTGGTGGTCAAGGGGGACCTGGAAACCCTAAAATAAACATAAGGGAGACAGAATCATTCAGTATGTAGAAGTATATTCTAACTTTTTTTAAAAAAATGTGGTGGCATAGTTAGACTATTGCCCTTACCAGGATGGTCCATGCTAGCCCAGTCTCATCAGATCTTGGAAGCTAAGCAGGGTTAGCTCCAGTTAATATTTGGATGGGACACCACCAAGGAATACCAGGGTCACTATGCAGAGGTAGGCAACGGCAAACCACCTCTGTTCATCTCTTACCCTTGAAAGTACCGCAAGTCAGCTGCAACTTGACGGCAAAAATATAAATACATTTTAAAAAGTGAGACTATCCGAGTACGATCCGGGGGACCGAAGCTCAGATCCCCACTCTGTCCACGGAAGCTTCCTTCAGCCAATCACATTCTCTCAGCCTAACTTACCTCAGCAAGGTGCCATTATAAGGAGAGAGTGGCGGAGGGAAGAATGATGTTATGAGTTGCTTTGGGTTCCAACTGGGGAGAAAAGCAAGGGCGTGAATGGATAAATAAACACAGTTACCTCTTCCAAAGAATTCCATAGCTCCTCATCACTATACTCGTTGAAAGGATCCAAATTTTTCCTCATAGTTCCAGTGAACAAAACCGGCTCCTAAAATGCAACAGAATACCATTCAAAATGTTTTGCTTTGGTAGCTCAGAGAATGTAAACTCACATTTGGAGAGGAAACGGGAGAGAGATTTTTCCAGTCAAATGAAAGGCTGCTCTGGGGATAACTACACGTGGCACACAAAGACACACAATACAGCATCAACAGCCACTTTTTCTAGGCAAAACATCTCCGGGAGGGGAAGATTTGCAGTGCACAAGCAGCAGGGGTGTGCACATGAGCACAATTAACCTTGATCCGGAAAACTTTCCCCTCTACTCTTTTTTTTTCAGTCTTTGCTGACATTTTTTTGGAACCATCCCATGTGATAAGAGGAGTCTTGCGGAGAAAGAGTGGTGGATACAGGGAAAGGCTAAACTGCAATGTACCATTTTTCACAATAAGTCTTCTTAAAAAGCTGCCTAGAAGTAGCAGCCACGGTGTTTTTGTTACACTCACGTGCATGTAAGATGTAGCTCTGCCTTTAGTGAGACACACAATAAAAACAGAATGCAATAGTATAGGAAAAGGTTTTTCCTTTCTCAAAAAGGGTACCATCCTTGATGGATAACCCTTAAAGGCTCTAAGAATAGACCCAAGAGACCCTTCGGTTGTGCCAAAACTTTCATAAGAAAAGCCTCATTACTTATTTAAGGCAACAAATGGTCAACAATTCAGAAGTTCAAATAACGGGGAAAATACAAAGCAGACAGAGAGAGAGAGATCTGATTGTTAACTCTGTAATTAAATCCTATGTATGAGTAACTCTGCAACAAGATCAGTATAAGGTAACTTACAATGCACTTTTTATATTTAATCTGTAACTTGTACTGTATGATAACTTCTTGAGCACACAAAGGAAGTCAGTCTATGGAGCCAACAGATTTTGAGAAATTAATAAATCCATGTAGGGGGGGAAATAGTTAAACATATAGAGATGGATACCACCAGCTACCAGGTTTGCAATGGACGAAGTGGTTAACATCCTGCCTTCCCCATCACATAGTCCCTTTTGACTGATCAAGACTATCCTGGGTTTCAGGGAATGAAAATGCACAAAAAGCCACATTGAGGGAGGGACTGTTTTAAGAAGCGGTGAATTAGGCAAGACCAACCCACCTCCATCTTGCACCAACAGAAACCTGGTAGGATCCAACCAAAATCAGGTTGCTATTAATGATAAAATGAGGGAAGGCAACATCCTTTTAAGAAAGGAAAAACCATGAGCGAAGGCAACATGGTATTGTCTGATCTTGGAAGCTAAGCAGGGTTGGTACATGGATGGTAGACTATCTACAGGAAGACAGTGCAGGTGAAGGCAATGCCGAGCCACCCGCCTTGAAAAACTCTTGCTGGGGTTGCCACGAGTTGGTTGCAGTGAAGGCACATGTGTATGTATTCATGATAGAAAGACGTAACAGTTACACGTCAAAATGGGAAAAATACCTTTGTAACTAAAGAAATGTGAATTTTTCTCTTTGTGAGAGAATCACAATACTCATTATGTTTAGCACTGTACAAGAACCATTCCAAGGTCTTCAAATAGTGGTATTTATCATCCTGCAAATGTTTATCAACTTCTATAGAACAAACAACAGAAACTGTTTGCTTTATCACAATACTAAAAGGCGACCTTGTATAAATCAAAGCAAGCTTTATGGTGTGGTAACTGTCAACCACGGCTACTGCTATGCTCTCTTTTGGGAGATACTGGAAGTCACACCCTAAGAGATTTCCAAAGAAAAAAGCACTGCTGCTGAAGATATGAGCTCTAACGAAGTTCAATCTCTTAGAAGAGCTGCATGTAAAATAGTGCCTAACGAGGTACTATACAATATGTAGAGTATGAACTTGATTTTAAACTCTTGCGATTAACTTGACTACTACATTTTGTTTAATATGTTTAATGCCTATATCATGTTATACTCTTCATTTAATGCTTACGTTGTGTTATACAAAATGTAAAATAACTATAATTGATAAAGGCATGATTACTTCTTTGCTATACATATAGCAATCAGCCTAATTCTGTGATTATCAAGGAATCTATCTCCCTTTTATCATTTGGATTAATCTAGCATCTTCCTTTCTTGTAAGGAACCCTACTGGCCCATGTCTATCAAGACATGCATTTTGTTTATTTTATAACAATCCTACCTGATTAAGAGAAATCTTGCCTACCATGGTGTACTATTTTGGTTGGTCTTAATAAAGGGTATTCCGGGTGCGGGTGCGTGTATGTGTGTGTGTTTTTGGACCAACATAGCTACCTGGAACTTCTGTCCATCATAACAGCTGGAATAATAATAAAAATTATCATATGGCATTGTGTGTAGTATAGTCAGGAGATCCTAAGATTGTCTGGTAGCCTAAAGTTCTAGCTCTTTAATATTATGCACCACTAGGTGGCAAGCTAGACTTCTTTTTTGGGCTGAGAGAGCTCTGCAAGGGCTGTGACTGACCCAAGGTCACCCAGCTGTGTGGACTAGAGTCTGTCGTTCTTAACCACTACACCACGCTGGCTCTAAGTAAAAGGTGGAGATAACTGCAAAGGAATAAAAGAATTGGCTGCAGCCTGAAATACATAAACAAAAGCTAGGAAAATCACTGGTACTAATACAGCCAAATTTAGGTCAAAATGAAATCCTACTAAATCCAGTGATTCAACATGACTCATTTGATCCTACCCATATTTACTCACGTCCACTGAGTTCAACGGGACATGCCAATAAGGCCTGAGACTGTTGCATTAGTCATGTAACCTAAACAAGATTAGGGCCAACAGCCGTTATTTTAGACAGGCACGAGGTGAATGTACCAGCTATGAAACAAAGGCCCCAGTTTCTCATGAAGTGATTCACTGAAAGATGCCTTAACAAATGGAACTTATTGTAAATTGGATGTGAGTGATCAGAAAGAAAAGGAAGCAATTCATACTCTGGTTTTCTGTACATAAGCAAGCCAAGGTATCATAATACTGAATGGGTAACCAGAGTTCTTCAGTTGTGCAGGTTTGACCAGAAAAGGAGCTACCTTGTTCAATGATTAATTCTGAAACAATTTCAGATTATCTGGAGACACAATTACAACTCGTTTAGCTATTCTGACTTTAATAAGCTGGTACACCAAGGCAAGTTAAACAGCACACACAAAGCTATTAAGACAGAATATTTCTGAACAGTTTCTGCCGAACTATAAAAGTATTTAAAATCAACTCAGACAGAACATAGTTTAATAAAGGTTTGTATTTTCTTCTCAAATTAAAAAAAAACACCCCAGTATTTCTTCAGCTGCAAAACTTGTTGATCATGAGGTTCACTAAAACATTAAAAACATTTTTAACCTCCTAAAAAGCCCATAATTTTTAACAATACTGATTATATTACATTATTGGATGCATTCTGAAATTATTAAGGTCATTTTCCATTCCAATCTATTTTTATAGGCTGGCAAAATGGGAAATCTGAATTCATAAAATCTTCATAACAGTTATGAAATTATAACAGCACACATGTACTGCAACAGTAGATAAGGATAATTTTAATTACCATTTCTGACAAAGATTGTTATGTTAAAATTGCCTGTTCCATGAGACGAAGTTAATAAGCCAAACCAATAAATAATTGTAAATTATATAGTCAGGGAAACAGATGATAACTGCATCAAAAGAGAGAAATACAAGTACCACACAATCATATCCAAAGAACCCAATTAGGAGTTTAAGTAGCATGATTTCTACAGGCAAGATGGGTATCTCCAAATCCTGACTGGAAATGACCACCAAGCCCAGAAGCAGATTAATTTATGGCTTGTTTGGGGCTGACTGCCCAACCTGCAGACTCCCACCTTTCTCTCTCTTGGGTACCAGTTCTATTTTCTGGTTTTCGCAAAGCCATAATTCACATCAGTCTCCAATCTGGCAACCTACGGCCACTCATTTGCTTTGAACACATGGTACTTTGAATACTGAAACTTTATTTCGATACGAGATCAGCTCCGAAAAATCAGCAAATAGTAAAATGCAGGAAATGCAGCAAACATAAAACAATGAACACAGATTAAGAAGGGGGACAAGTTAAATAAAACGGGGACAAGAAAAATAAAACCCTTTACTGGGGACCCAATTCGCCACTTGCGTACCCCGCATGCCTGCAGGCAAAATCTGGCAACTTTGTGGATTATCTCCTGAGAGGAGTCTGCGTGGGGGAGAGAGATATAAAGTTGTTCAGATCTTCATGGTGTCGATGACACAATTAGAGCAATATACAGTTGAATGTTATTATAGAATGGGCAATGCGGTAGAACGTGTTCAATGGACTCTATTTTCCCCATATGAGATGGACAAAGTTGTTGATGGAGCAAGGCATGATGGTATCTGCCTTCCAGAAGGGCTGAAGGTAGAGTGTTAAAGCATGTCAGTGTGATGATTCTTTGTTACTTGGGAATCTCAAGGGATCCAAGACAACCTGCTGGTCGAAAACATTTGGCATGCTGTGGAATATACGGTATTAAACCCTAATTGAAAGTGATGGGAGGAGCAACTGACAAGTGGAAGCAAGGCCCCGAATGGAGTTGGCAGAACTGAATGTCATGGGACCCAAAATCAGAAAGTGGAGAAGGGAGGCTGCAAGCCCATGAATGCATGAATCTTGCCTTATACTGAACCAGACAGCTGGTCCATCAAGATCAGTATTGTCTACTCAGATTGGCAGCAGCTCTCCAGGGTCTCTCAGGTGGAGGTCTTTCACAACATCTATTTCCAGATCCTTTAACTGGAGATGTTGGGGATTGAACCTGGGACCTCCCACACGCCATACAGTAGCTCTACCACTGAGCCACAGCCTCTCCTAGACTTCCGGTGCCCTAGCCATAGGTTAACATTATGTCGGAACTGAGCCATGTGTGCTACGGCATTCCACAGGGTCCCAAAGTTCCTTGCAGCTTACCATGCCTCCTTGAAGCTTACCATGGCTCCTGATCAGCATCAGTGGACACTGGAAGA